TTTACCAACAGAATATGGTGTCATTCATTTAATTTTCACCAATCTGATGGATGAGAGAAATGATATATCATTTTAAAAAAATTCTATGAGTGCCCTGTTTGAGGAAAGCATCAAGCTGGCCTTTGGAAAAAGGGTTTAAGGAGAGGGAAAGTCCTACCCACTGTTCTGCCCTAGATCCTGGACCTGAGCTGCAGCCATCAACTAGGTTTCCAGCCTCCTGTCAGCCCTGGGAACCACCCTCCAGATCAGCCTGAGCCAAAGACTTATTAGCCTATCCTGTTGCTGCCATTTCTCTTGATTAGTAAAGGCTGTAGGCAAGGAGCCAAGGACTGCAGTTCAGTCCTGAATGTGTTTTCCCAATAATTGCAACTAAGTTTTCAGTCCCTAGTTTACTTAGGCTCATAAATGTGCAATTAATGCATAATCTCACCCTTACCTTACAGCTCCTGCATTCCAGAGGCCGGCATTATTTAATGGTCATTTAAAAAGTACACTAACGTTTAAAATTCATGCTATGCAAAAAAAAAAAAAAAAAAAAAAATTTATGTGAGTGAATTTGAACTTCTTTTCATATGTTTAAGGGCCCTCTTTATATCTTTTTGTGAATTGTATGTTTTTCTTGAGGTTTTTTGGTTCTTTATTTATTTTAAGCGTTCTTAATATACTAGTAATATTAGCCCTTTGCGATATAGTATCCTATTTCTAATATCATACATTGACTTTTCCTTGTTTTTGTACTTTATGTAAATAAGACCATACACATAAACTTTTTGACGAGAATGTGGTCTGTACTTTAGTTATAGTACTCTGTACTATAACTTAATTGTAGTATGAGCAGAATTGACTTCTGGGTGCTACTTAGATTTGCTATCTTTTCAACAGAGCTTTTCAGTCCTGATAATTCACTTAGTATTCATTATTCAAAGTTATTTGCCTTACTAGTGCCATGCCAGTTTTCATCCCTTCCTTCTAAGTTCCAGACCTAATGGTGGCTCGTTTCTGAAGTCTCTCTAGAAACTCACAAAGCCAACTTGGGTGTTCCTTTTTTATGTCCCCACTGTACTTTGTAGTTTCCTTTATGGCATTGACATTGTAATTCTTCTGTATGTTTCTCCTTACTAGACTCTAAGCTGTTTGAAGGCTGAGTCTTCATTTTTGTGTTTCTGGCATAGTGCTGCTTGGTGTATAGTAAGTGCTCAACAAATATTATTGGAAGAACTGGTGTAGTAAGAGATAGGAAAGAGGTGATGTCAGTGTAGGGAAAAAATTGTCCTTGGAGGACAAGTGGAATTTGAAGAAATGAAGAAGACATCCCTGGTGATAGGAGAGCACCAGCAAAGACATGGGGATGTGAGTGGGCGCAGTGCCTGCAGTGAACAGTGGAGGTGCTCCTCTGATTGGAGCGTGTTTGCTTATTATTGTATTCGTCACAGCTTTCTGTGTGCCTGCTACATGAAAGGCACTGGTTTAGGTGGTGAAACCACAGATCTCAACAAAACGGCTACACTGACTTTTAAAACTTGGTGCTTTTGGAAGTAGTAAGGAGTAGATTAAGGAGGTAAAGAGGAGCGAGCAAGGTTTTAGAGAGTACTGAAGGAAAGGCATAGGTGTTGGGCTTCGTGTGGTTGATAGGAGGTGCCAAGTGAATGATCTGGTGGAGGCTCTTATTTCCCATGGGTTTCGAGTGAGGGAGGTATCTAATGTGATTGAGGGATGAGAATTATAGAAAATGATAATTGAGCTCTGAGGGGATGCGGTTGCATTAGAGCTGAGACCTGTAAGACAGCTAGGAATTGACCCAGTGGTTAAGCAGGGGAAGGAGAAAAGAATATAGGAAACTACAGACAGCTATGGTATAAAGTTAGATGGAGGGAGTAAAGGAAGGTGAGGCCGGCCAAGTGAGTGTGGATTAGAGACATGATTTCCATACCAGAACATATCAGAATAATGTTTCTTAACTTCTGAAATAGACCTAGACCTCTTGCTTGCCTGCTAAATCAGGATGCTTGCAAAGAGGTTGGGATTTCATCTTGCTGGTGATGAGGAACCCCTGAAGACTTGAGAGGGGCATGACGTTCCTCTATTTCAGACCACCTTGATACTGCAGGAGGTGGGCTGGAAGGGGGGGGAGATGAAAGGCTAAGAGACAAATTCTGAGGCCCTACAACCATATAGAGAAATGATAATCAGGACCTCAACGAGGGCAGAAGGTATGAGATTATAGAGAAGAGGTCAAGAGTGAGAGTATGGTGGTGTTAATGTTTTTTAGGCAACTTGTGTGGTGTTGGGGTAACCTGCTGAGTGAGCTAAGCACAGTGGGAGAGGTAATACTCTCAGGAAGGTAGCTAAGGAAAAAATGAGTTTAGTTGGGGACATAGTCTCCTCCCACGCTTTCCCCCATTCCATTTGATGGTGCTGTGACATATCTTTGGATTCGTTCTTGACTCTTTTTCTCTCACACCCCACATCCAATTTGCTAACAAATCTTTCCACTTTACCTTCAAAATATATCTAAAAGTTGAACAGTTTTTATTTTCGCCAGACCCTCCCACTCATCCTAGCCACTGTCATTTCTCACTAAATTATTATACTCGCTTTCTAACCTCCCTGCTCATGCCCTTGCCCCCTGTCTGTTCCTAACCCAGCCTCTGAATGATCCTTATATATTAATCAGGTCACCTTCCTCCACATAAAACCCTCCTCCTAAAAGAGTCCTTGCTGAAGGCCTCTGTGGCCCTTTGCCTCTCTGTCATCATCTTTCTTCCTTTTGCTTACTCTACTCCAGTCACATTGGCCTCCTTGCTGGTCCTTGAAGTAGTCAGGTGTGCTCCCTGTTGCAGATCTTGAAGTTTCTCTTTCCTTTGAAAAAGGCTTTCCCCCCAGTTATTGGCATAGTCCTACTTTTGGGTATTTAGCCATATGTCAATCTTTCTCTGACCATTCAGTTTGAAATTGCAACCTTCTTTGCTGCTGAATATTCTCTCCCTTTGGTTCATTTGTCTCCTTAGCCTGTATCACCATCTACATGTGTGTTGTATATATTTTGTTTATCTCTCCCCAGTGGAATTTAAGATCCATAAGGACAAGGACTTTTGCTTTATTCATTGCTGTACTTCTAGCACCCAAAACTGTGCTAGCATATAATAGGTGCTTAGTTAATATTTGTTGATTTACTGAATTAATTAATGACATGCCTGGGATATCCTGGAATAGATGTATATGAATTATTATACCCTATTAAATTTCATAAAGAAGTAGAGGCAAGAAAGTGTCTAGTAGACAAACTGGAGCCCATAAAATGGTTTAGACTGGAAAAGAGATTGGTGTGAAGCCATGGCAATATATGAGACATCTTAGAGAGTGTAGAGTCAGAGAGGACTAGGGGTGGAGTCCCCAAAATACCTCCATGTAAGGGTTGACCACAGAGTAAGTAGCATTGTCCTTAGACTCAGCCAAGTGGGAACCCTGCTCTGGGCCCTGTCTGTGTTTTAGAGTTCCTCATTTGGCGTTCCTCCAACTACCCCCCTCTTGATAAGAGTAAGACATGGGGGTGCCAAGGGAACTAGTCCATCTGGTACCTATTTCTAGATCAAGTTCTGAGTATTTGAACCCTTGCCCATGTGGCCTTTCACAGGTCTCTTTTCTGATTCTCTCTTCTCTTGACCATACTACATGTATGGGCTTCTCTAGGTTTGAGGGATGGCCAAAGGGTAGCAGTTTGCAGGCATGTGGCCAGAGCTTGGGATGCCACATGTATGTATATGAGGCTCCCTGTAGTATGGAGTGGAGCCAAATTTGGGAAGAGAAAAAGGAGACCGGCTGCAGGCCAGGTGTGTGTGGGGAGTATGGTTTTGCCCTGCCCCCACAGAATTTGAGGGAGTCTGAGAAGTCCAACTCAGAACTTAGCCTTTTAGATTGTTATAAAAGTGTGTATGCCAAAATAGGAAGATAGAATGATAATTTAATAGCTTGTTAGCTTGATTTATAACTTTAAAATATTTATACATATGGTATATAGGCTCCCATTTATAGTCTTACTCCAGGCTCCTTGAAAATTAGGGCTGAGTCTCTAAGAGGAAGTTGAAAAGGAGGAGCTAGGGCGGGAGAAATAAATTCAGGATAGAGTTTCAAGGAGGGCATGAGCCACTGTAAGTGCTTCAGAGCCATTAAGTCCTATGAAGCCGGAAATGTACCCATTGGATAGGACAACCAGAATTTAGTAAAACTTTCAGTTGGTGGTGATGGGTGACAAACTTCTATAGAAGGAGGGGTACCTAATTAGGAAGTGGAGACAGAGCATAGAAGACTTTTCTTCTAGTACATTATCAAGAAAGGAACTAGACCAGTAGTTGGAGGAGCATGCAGTGTCACTGAGGAGGACTTTTCCATGCTTAAGATGAGTCTTGTAAATGTTTAGATGATGAGGGAAAGGAACCCATCGTTTAAAATGATAAGGTTAAGGAAAAAGAGGAAATAATTGATGGAGCAAGGCCTAAGCTCCAGTGCATAGGTCAGCGGATTAGCTTTTGAAAGAAGGAGGGCTTTTGAGGAGGCGTGGGATGTATAGATGTGTATAGAATGTTTGGAGGGTGAGGAAGAAGGAAAGTGACTTAATAGGGAATTATATATCATCAACATTGCTTTATAGTAGTTTTTTGGGTTAGTTTTTTAAAATACTGATTTTATATTTCTGGGGATCAAGGATTATACCCTGCAGCCACTTGAAATATAAGCCCCAATATGGGGCATCCGCTGTGTATGTTGAATCTGTCCTTACTCAGTAATTGTTATTTAGTGGTGACTTGGAATTTTAAGTTTGATAAAAATTTCTGATTCCTCAATAACCTAGAAATAATTTTTTATTATGTGTATTATATAATGTATGTCACCAGGCTTTGGAGGTGGTTTGTAATAAGTACATATTGTCTGAATTACACGTACTTTGGACAAGAATATTTTTAATAGAATTATATTAATACTGTCTTTTCCCCCTCTACTAGTTCCAGAGAACTGCTGGTTTATATTTTAGCTCTTGCCAAGTTGTGAAAATAGTGAAGGATGCATAGACTACTTAACATTCAAATTGTAAGTAAAATTTATTTTTTCTGTTATTATCTATATGTTTAGAAAACAGAAACTGAAAATAGTCATTACCTTATATGATAATGGTGAGCTTGTGTGTGGGGCTGTTTTTCTTAATTTTTATTAGGATACAAATACTTCCTCAGCTGGTCCGAAAGTAGTGAGTTATCTCAATTAATTGCCTGCAGCCAATTACAGATGGAAGCTCACAAATACTTCCTCTATTTTCTTTTGATAAGATCAAAAGATACTAAAAGGATCAAAAAGGATACTAATAGTATTGAATTGGTCTTAGGTAGTGAAGTGAAAAATTTTTTTTTTCCCTAGGCATTTCTTTTTATTGTAGGAGTTTATGGAAATACTTTACTATTATCTCCAAGTTGCACTATTGAAAAATTGAGAGTGAATAAACCTGGTCAAAGCTGCAAGATATCACCATCTTGCAGGTGTCAAATGCTGTTTAGTTGTAAAATTATTTATTTAAAAAAAGAAAGAAATGTATTTTCTCTTTATACTTAATTTTCTGCTTTTTTAAATTTTTATATGAAAAAATCCTGTTAGAAATATCTAATTTCTCTATGAAAAATTTAACACATACCAAATCAAATAAAGTGTAACTTTTTGGGAATATTCTAATGTGTAACTCTAGATGATATATTGAAATTCATCTCTACTGGGGAAAATTGAATTATGTTTACTTCAAACCATTTGCTATATTGCATATTGAACCAATAGTAAAAAAATTACTGAGAAAAGAATGATAAATAATATTAAAGGCATTCCAAGTGATTTCACTATTTTCAAACTACTATATTTGAAAGTATAAGCTACTCAAATAATCTGTTTTATAGTTCTTATAAAATATTCAAAATATGAACACAAAATGAGATCGCTGCCGTAGACAATTCTAATTATTCAGATAAATCAAACGAGCCAAAGAAAAAGAGCGAAATATTTACAGACTGATAAATCTTTTAATTTGCTATATGGGCAAATAATTTTAGAGGATGGCTTGGTCCAGCACATTTCATGTTTTTAATGCATAAAATATTTTTTAAATTTCTATGAAAATATTTCAGGAATAAAAGTACATCTTCATAAAGATTGAAAGTTATAACATTTTACCTCTTAGAATGTAAATATCATAATGCCACGAATGTGCAGTAGCTTGGTAAGAACTTAATTTCACTATGTTCCCGAACTTGACAATGCTAAGTAGAATGCTCATTACTGCCCTCTTTTGACATGGGTGTATAAGGGTATTCCCCTGTTTTTTTAGTTTATACAAATGTTAAAAATTAGATTGCAGAGTAGGTTGTGCTTTATATCTTTCCTATATATTTTTAATAACTTTTCAAATTCTTCCTCTTTTTAGGCTCTCTGGTTAATCATCTTTAGAAGAATGGATTTCTGGATATCTACTCCACTCCTCTATTGACTTTTAAGACATGATAATGCAAACCTATAACACTGGCAATCATCCATGAACCTTTAATTGTACTGATTAATAGCGTTTCACGCTTCCTCAGGGAATAAACAATGACATCAGCAGTGGTTGACAGTGGAGGTTCTGTTTTGGAGCTTTCCAGCAGTGGAGTAGAAAATCAAGAGGTTAGGCATCCAATGTATTATGTTATTGTTTTGTTCATAGAATTCAATGCATGAACTAGTTTTGAAATTGATGGGAAACAGGTATTTGAGAATAGAAATGTACATTGCATGAAATTGTACATGTACATGTCACGTGTCCTTATATAATTTAGGTAATAGAAGGTTGAGGGAATGTACTGCCAGGCTCACCTGAGTTTTTGGAACATGCATATATTGGAATGAACTGGGAGGAAAAAATTGAAAGAAAGAATACTGTAATATTAGTTGAGAGAGAGAGTTAAATTCCTGATAAAATTTATTGTTTTGGATTATAGAGTGTTATAGGTATATAGCATACCTAAATTAAATTAATCTTAAATTAGAATTTTGTATCTCCTTTAGTTGCCATCTTTGTTTTTTGATTATTTTGTTTTATCTAATTCAGTGTGGGGATCCATATTTTAATCTAATGTATATATATTTAAGACTTTAGATAATTTGTAAATCAGAAAAGAAACTCGAGTTTTGAAATTTTATACATACAGAATTTTTTACATTATTAGAATTTTGTGTTTTCTTTTTATCGATAATATTAAAGAATAAGAGATGGGAGTAGAAAAATAACAGTACCAGAAATATATGAATTTCCGGGGTCTGGCTTCTGTTGCCACCATTCAGTAAATACTGAATACTGGGAAGGAGCTAAATTAAAATATAATAATGCTGTCACACTAATGGACAAATATTTGGTCAGACATGAGGTGGGAAAATAAAGAGTTTACTATATTTAGAAAATCTATTTTCCCTGTATTCTGTGAAAGACACTGCTGTTACTGGTACTCATTACCAGCATAGTGGTATAGTGACATGACTGAGAAACAAGTTAGAGCGTCAGGCTGTGTGTTCTGGAATCTGGATTCTTTTTCTTGCTTTCTTGGTGTCTGTCAGCCCTCTAAGATAGCTACGGGCAACTTCAGTGGGAGGGAGATAAAGCGAAGGCTACAACTTTTCCTTTGTTCTCAATGGACTTGTAATAACTCAGATGTTCCGGTCGTATTGGAATCTAAAACTGGTTCAAAGTCCATTAAGAGAAGCCACAGCTACAGAACATACTTTATTCTCGTAATCAATGTCTACTTCCTCCTTGAAGATTTACTTCCTGTACGGTCACTTCCAGGTGTGATAAACTAAAGAGATTGGGACTTGGGGGACTTCTATCCATATCACACAAATCAGTTATTGCTGCTTCTTCAAGAGCTTTCTCTTTGTATTATAGTTTTTCTCTGTTGGTATCTAACCCTATGAAGGGAGCCGCCAAGAACAATAGGCAGAATATATTTAATTTACCTTGTGTTGATTGGGTACCGTCAATATGGGAAAAGAGTACTACAGTTTATTTCTGGAAGACTTATTTTTTTACTTTTCATGGAACCCTGAGTGTTCTTGGCCTGGAGAACTGATTATTATGGAAGAATCTGATAAATGAAGTCATTTTATCAAGGCATTATTGACTAATGATTAATGTGGTAGCTTTATAGGGTGGTCACAAGCATTTTAGGTAGCGTGGAACGAGAGTGCGGTAAACTATTCTTGGGGAACTTTTTCTTCAGCAAATATTAACTGACCACTTACCTTGCGTCAAGTACTTTTCTAGGCACTAGGGTTAAAATGGCTGTGAAAAGTAAATTAGGGCTAGAAATGGAGGGAGGGGTGGCAGGGGGTATTTTACGTAGGGTGGCCAGGGAAGGCTTCTCTGAAGAGATGATACTTTAGTTTAGATTTAAATAAAGTAAGGGATTAGGCAATAGAAACGTGGGGAAAGAGAATTCCAGGAAGAAAGAAAAGCCTCTGGGATCTGAAAAATCTTCTAATTTTACAAAGGTAGTTTTGGAGATAGTGATATTTGAAAGATAGATTTTTTCTTATAAGCAACTTTTCAGGAATATATCTATAATATATATCTGTAATATCTATACTCTAAAATGTAGGTTGGAGAGAAAAAAATGACCTGTCAAGATTTTATAATCATAACTTCAGAATCTGAAGAAAAAATAAATGTGTAAAAAGTGGTGGGTACTATGTTGTACACCTGAAACTAATATAATATTATATGCCAACTATAATTGAAAAGTAAATTTAAAAAAATAGTAGTTGGCGAAAAAAAAGTGGTGGGCGTTTGGAGAGTTATTAATATAATTTTTCAGGCTTTATTTTTATAACTTTATTTCTTTTTATAAAAGTAACACATTTTATAAAATTAGGATAATTCTGTTCTCACAAAGATACCCAAAAAATAAACTAGTCATACTTATGAGTATAGATTTAAAAATCATAAAAAATAGTAATAAATATACAAAATGCAATTATATGTTGAAAAATTGAGTTACCAAATAGGATTTAGATATATAAGGCTAATTCAATATTAAAATCATTACTATATCTCCCCACTAATATGACATATGACATAAGATACGTTAGTGGGAATAAAATACTTAATGAAATAGGTTTTATGAAATTCTGTATCCACTCCAGATAAAAACTCTTAATAATATAAATATAGGTGTCTTAACATGATAAAAAATAACTGTTACAAATCAGTAGCCTTAATCCTATTTAATTATAATGTACTGGAGTATTTTCTTTAAAATTGGAAAGAAGATAAGTGTAGGTACTACCATTACTATTAATATTTTCTGCAATCAGGCAAGATAATGAGAAAATATAAATATTATAAAGGAGATCAAATTATTATTTGTAGATAATATGAATCTCTACCCGGGAAAACCAGAGGGAATCCATGAAAACCCATTAAAACTAATGAAAGTTTGGCAGATAAAAATTAACACAAAAAATATTTAGCTTTTTTTTTTGTAAGGACTGTAATTAGTTAGAAAAGATCATGGAGAATAAGATCCCTTTCAGAAAATTAACCAAAAATATAAAGTATTGAGGAATAAATATAAAAGATATATGGGACTTATTTGAAGAAAATTATTGATGTTGAAGTAAACGAAAGAAGACTTTAATAGACAATGGGATATATTTAATACTTAGAGAGGTGGGAAGGGTCAGCGTTGTGGAGGAAGTCAATTTCCTTCAGCTAATCCATATATTTAATTCCATCTTTATCAAATGTTAGGGCGACTTTGGGGAAAATTGATTATATAAACCTAATGATTGCATGGAAGAGTGAACATACAGGAATGGCCAGAGCACTTTTTGAAAAGGAAGTGTGTAGCAGGTAGGTCTCGCAGAAATAGAGGATTAATGCAGGGAAAAAAGGATTTAAATATTTATGTGTTTTAAAAAATATGTCTTTATTGATTTCAGAGAGAGGAAGGGAGAGGGAGAGAGAGGTAGAAATATCAATGATGAGAGAGTCATTGATCGGCTGCCCCCTACACGCTCCCTACTGGGGATCGAGCCCGCAACCCAAGCATGTGCCCTGACTGGGAATTGAACCGCGATCTCCTGGATCCTAGGTCAATGCTCAACAGCTGGGTCATGCCAGCCGGGCAAGCCAATATATGAATTAAAATGGATACGAAAAAATTCAATTCAAAAGAAGACAGAATAAAAATAGAACAAGGAATAAATGAAACAAATAACAAAGATCAGGATGGTAGATTTCACTCCCGTTTTGTAGATAATGTTAATTGTAAATATTCTAAACAGTCCAAATAAAATGTAAATATTGCCAGATGGGGTTTAAAAAGAAGTCTGTTTTATGTTTTATACCAGAAATTCATTTTAAGTATTGACAGCACCGCTTAAAAGTAAAACTATAGAAATAGATATATACCATGTAAATTTAATCATAAAAAGGCTGAAGTGGTTTCAGGACAAGATTATTACCAGGGATAAAAATAGACATTTCATAAATGATGAAAGGACCATTCGTCAAGAAGACTTAACAACCCTAAATGTGTGTGTACTCAGTATTAGAGCTTCAAAATATATAAAGCATAAACTGACAGAACTGAAAGAGGAAATAGGTAAACCTATAGTATTAGTTAGACATTGCAGCATTTCTCTCTTGGTTAATTGATAGAACAATTAGAAAATCAATGAGAATAGAAGATTTGAACAATATTATCATCCAACTTCACCTAATGGACATTTATGGAACACTACCTAACAGTACACATTCATTTCAAGTGTACATGGACAGTGAACCAAGATACATCATATGTCAGGCTCTATGTCTCAATAATTTTTAAAGGATTGAAATCATACAGAAAAAGTTGTCTTACCAAAGCAGAATCATGTTAGAAATGAGCACAAAAAGATACTTGCAAAATCTGCAAATGTTTGGATATTAAACAGCTCACTTTTATATAACGTATGGATTAAAGAATAAGTTACAAGAGAAATTAGTAAATACTCAAACTGAATGAAGATGAAAACAATATATAAAAATTTGAGGGATGCAGTTAATGTACTTAGAGGAGAATTTGTAGTTTCAAATACTTATATTAGCAAAGGAGAAAAATCTAAAATCAATCGCTTAAGCTTTCACCACAGTAAGCTAGAGTATGAAGATCACATTAAACCCAAAGTAAGTAGAAGGGAGGAAATAATGAAAATAGAAATAAATCAGTGGCCTGGCCTGTCTGGCTCAGTGGTTGAGCGTCAGTCTGTGAACCAGAAGGTCATGGTTTGATTCCTGGTCAGGACATATGCCCAGGTTGTGGGCTTCATCCCCCACAGGGGCATGCAGTAGGCAACAGATCGATGATTCTCTCTCATCACTGATGTTACTCTTTTCTCTCTCCCTTCCTCTTTCTGAAATCACTAAAAACATTTTTAAAGAATCAGTGAAGTAGAAAGTGGACAGAGAATAGAGAAATTAAACTAGAATATGATCCTTTGAAGGAAATAAATAAAATTGACACATGTCTAAATACACTGCACAAGAAACCCCCCCAGAAATTACTAATATCAGGAATCAGACATTACTATAGATCGGGTGGTGAATGTCTGGCCTGCGGGCTGAAATAATTTGGTCTGGCCCTGCCAAG